GCCATCCTCCTTCTGCTTCCAGGTTAAGATCCATCTCATGCCAATCGCCTGGCTGTGATGAGGTCGTAGAGGTGGGGGCAAAGTCTGAAACGCTTCGGCGGCTATGAAGTTTTTCACTTCAATGGCCTTGGCCTCCTTGAACTGCTGCAGTTCTTGAGGGCTCAATCGCTTCTCTGAGACTTCCACGGCTCTGCGTTTCAGGGCTCCAATGAAGTAGCCCTGTAAATTCTGGGCGGCTCGATTCCACGATCGGGCGCTCTCTGGTAGGTCGAGGCTCACTTCCACGGCCGCCTCGGGGCGGTTCCAGTAGTCTACCTTCTGGGCCGACCACGCTGCCTCGGGAACCTGTTGCGTCCAAAGCTCCCCTTGCTCGTCCTGGAGTGCCTGGTGGGCCAGGAACCCTGCCCGGGGTCGCGGTGCTCGCGAACCTTGGGAGGCGCTGCGCTCCTCCTCCGGTGTTGGCTCCATCTCCTCAGATGGTTCTGGTATGGCTCGCTTGCCACGGAACCTGTAGCGTGTCGGCGGTGTCTCGCGGGTCACATCTTGTGCTCGCCGTTGCTCCTCCTCACTGGGCTTCTCCATGGACACATCCTCATACTGGTTTCCTCCGATCTCCTCCGCGACTTTGGTGAAGGTCCAAGGAGTCTCCTCATGGCCATGCTCCCGAGCCAGGCCCTCTAACAGCTCCTCTCGAGCTGAGGCATGCCTCAGCTGCTCTGGGCAGCACTTAAGAAGCGCGCGGCCTCTCACGCACCACACGGCGCTTCCCGGCCTCAACGTGCCGTCGCTTTCTCTCCGGGTTTCGGTGGCCAGCACACGTGCGGGCCCCAGGTAGCGGCCTTGCTTAGACCCCGGCTTCCGTCGGCTCTGTCCAGACTCCTGGCTCCTCCAAAAATAAATCAAATCACCCGGTCTGTAATCGTGGACCTGCGTTGTCCGTGAGTTCAAAGCCCTGCTGATTCGCTGTTCTGTGTGCCACTGCGCATGTGCCTTCTCGGCCTCTGCCCGGAGCCGGGCGGATTTCTCAAATTCTTCACACGCACTCTCAACTATCAGCTCATCCGGCACTTGGTGTGGATCGGCCAGGATCCGGCCCGTGATATCGGGACTTCTGCCAAACACATGTTGCACAGGCGAAAACCCTCTTACATGATCCCTGGCATTGAAAACATGCACTGCCTGGGCCAAGAGTGTCTCGGCCGTCGCATCCTCGTCGTCAGAGGCCAACTTATGCATTACGGCTTTCACCCCTTGCACGGCTTGCTCGCACACACCTACTTGCCAGTGGGCCGTCAGCCGGAATGATATCTAAGTAGATTCCGTTACGATCACAGAACTCCGTCATGGCCTCCCCCCTGAAACAACCGGCGGGATCAACTCGAAGTGCCCTTGGCATTCCGAAGTACTGAGCCCAACCCTCCCGCAGGAAATTCAGACACATGGCCGCATTTGGCTGTTGTTTGGAACCCCGGCTCAACACCCTTGACACCCTGAAACGGGACCCTTCGTCAATGATCATCATGAACTGGACATGTTCCCCTGATTTTGGGTGTTGCCAATGGCCAATGTCAGCCGATATTGTGTGAAGTTTCGGGGGCAGGGCCTCCAGAGAGGCCAAATGACGGCTCTGGATACGACCCTTTTCTTTGCACACGGGGCACTCAAACTGTTTAGCCAGGGAAATCACCTGTTCGGAGGCCTGTCTACGCTTCAAGGCTTCCACTAGAGTCTTCACACTACCGTGACCAGTAGCAGCATGCAGAAGGTAAAGTTGCCGCTTGATCTTCTCTTCACGTTGTTTCTGGTTGGGGCTACCCTGGGAACTACTGGAGGCCGGGCTGTGAAGCGCGTACGCCTGTTCGTCATCATCAGTTTCTCTTGGCAGCTGAAACCCTAACTCCTCAAGAAAATCCCAGTCATCCTTCAACAACTCCGAAGACCCTCTCGACGCAAAAGCCGTCACCGTAGTTCGCTCTCCCTGCCACTCTTCGGGTCCATGCCAGGCCTTCGGGTTGAACTTGAGGAGTCGGTGTCGTACGTCGTGCGCGTTGCCCTGAATCGACTCGCCGTTGGGCAATACCTTGGCCGTCGGCTCTTGCCTAGCTCTGTGGGGGTCCTCTTGGACCCATAGTCGTCCGTTTTGGTATGGGCCGAGTCCTATCACTCGGTTCCATGTTCCTGGGTGGTTGTGCAAGTCCCGGTGCAGCGGACAGCACCCATTACGGTTCAAGGCAACAGAGGTACATATGAACGGTTCCCTAGCATGATGCTGCATGTACTGCACGACATAACGGGTGGTCCAAGGGAGGTGCCTAGTATGGTTCGTCACGCCGTAGTGGTTACCATACGCATACATGCCTAGAATCAGATAACCCTCGGTTCTCTGTGTCATCATTCTTCGGACACGTTGTTGCTTCCAGGGAACCTTCACAAGAAACTGCTCCATGCTCCTATGCCGGTAGTCCTTGGAGTTCATAAGCCTCTGGGCCTCACTCTCCAATTGGCTTATACAATCACTGTTCAGACCCACTAGAGCCTCTTCTACCTCACTCCCAGAAGCCTTCCAACTCCCTTCGCCTATGCCCTCTGAAGCTTCCCCAACCGAAACCCCCAAGCCTTCCCCTGCAACCCTGTTCTTAAGACAGCAGTGTCCACAGCTCCTGGGCCGTTGGGGTAAGTGCACTTCAGTACAGGTGCACACTTCTCCTTCACCAAACTGGTCTGGCAACGGGCTTTTAGTTCCTCCCTCATGGCACTCCGACCACAAGGATTGCATGGTGTGTTCCTGCATGATGGCTTGGGCTGCTCTCCGAACAAATTCCGAAGTGTAACCCTCGCACAACCTCACCGCGCTTCCCTCGCTTCTTGCATGGGTGTAACTCTTAGGGCACCTGCACGGCAACTGCAACTCATTGGCTAGCCTCTGGTGTGTGGTAATCACACGCCATCCCTGCTGCAGCAACGGCTCCTGTGGTCCTGCTCGGAGGCCCACGCGACATCCTTTCGCGATGGCCTCGTACAAAGCATACTTAGCCCTTAGTTGTGCGAACATGGGTAGCCGCCAAGCTTGGCATCTCTCTGACATTTCTATGGTGACATGTATTCCCTTTTGCACGCAAACATGAAACACCATACATGTGCCTATATACACACGCATGGCTGCATCCCTCTTGGCCTGCAAAGCTTGTTTTTGCTCTTCGGTTCTCTGGTTGGCGTTTTGCATGGGAGAGAAAGCGCCCCCCGGTGGAGCGATCCAACAGTGTGTTGGCTTCTCTAGATCCAGTCGTTGCAAAATAAGGCGCACACCATCATTTGTGCCTAGATCACAAGCATTCCATTTCGAGCAACGTACTGCTGCTCTGTCATCTTGCGCAAGCTCCTGGATCTTGGCCGCCAACAGACTATTGGGTTGGCAGGCGATTTCCATCATCACCGGCCGACTCTCTCGCACTAAGCCCTGGAAGATTGCTGAGGCCACGGACCATGACTGCTTTTCTAAGGTCTGTGCTTGGCTGCGAGACAGCTGTCGACTTAGTTTCTGGGACGCGCTAAGTGCCTCACTACCTTGGGTCTCGTGATCCTCATCCCTTAGTAGGTCCGCACTCAGGAGGTCGGGTCCTTCTTCGGCCCCGGCGTCTTGGTCGAGCTGGTCCTCGGCGACTTGGGATCCTCGTTGGAGCCCCGTCCCACGGCGGTCTTCCGCTGTGG